GCCGGGCTCCCCCGCCTCCCCCCGGCTCCACCGCCTGCCCGTCCCGCTCCGCGCCGGGGAGCTGCCCTCGAACCCCGCTGCACACCCGGCTCTGCTGAGCGAGCGAACTCCCAGCATCTCTGAGCCCCACACGGCCCCTGCCCTGCCAGCCGGAGGTTTAGGGTGTTCTCAGTTAAAAAGGGTGGGAAGAAAGCTCTCCGAGCCGCACTTTACCTTTCCTCGGCAGACTCTGCACGGCCCCGGTGCACCTGCGGGGGTTGTGAGCAGCCTTCTCCCCACTCGGATGAACACACCCTGTTCAGCTGTGACAGCCTCCCCTCCACAACTACCACAGCCTGAACCTATACTACGAGCTGGGGGGTGGGGAAACAACCCCAGGAACACCCACATTGCTGGAGGTTACATTTAGGACTCCTCCACTCCTCCAATAGACTCCATAGAGCCAAAAATGTCAGCAGCCCTGGAGCAGAGCCAGCAGGCCCCGCAGCAGCACCGAGTACAGACACACATTCACTGCCTCACAGCAGCCTCAAGTAGCTTCATGAAGGATTCCATTTTCTTCCAGGATGTTTTTCCACAGAAAACTATTATTGACCTGTAAGGAGTACCATATTCACACCTATCACACCTGGAGGAATGATGTAAGGGGCCTGTTCTAAAAATTATGCTACTATTATTTTTCTGTGCCAGTACTAGTAGTTGCACAGAACCGAGCTTTTAGTCAAAGAGCTCGCACACCTCTTCCCACACAAAACCTAAACATCAATCAATAATTGAATTGTACAGGCAAAACACACCCTTGTCTGTACACAGTATGTACACCAAGTGCTAAATAAATAATTTCAGTCAAACCCAGTAAGCAAAGTATGCCCAAGATCCTCCAACACTGCTTCATAAGTTAAAATTATCTTGTAAGCATAAAAAAAAAAACCTTGTTGTTTTACAGTGCTAGGTAATTTTTACTTATTTCATACTACTTCTCTTTCAAAAGTGCTGTTATTCTAGACTTCCAGTTCTCTTCGTTTTTCATGTTCAGAAGGGAACAAGGAAATTTTATTTTCAAGAGCATGCATGTAACTAAGTCTAGATAAATATAATCTATAGGTGACAGTTCGTCACTTCAACTAAAGATTTCAAGTAGATTGAGAGATTAAAACTAGCAGAGAAAAAAAAATGCAAGAGGAAGCCAAGGCTACATGAGGAACTCCACTGGGTTTCCATACTTTTTGCTTGATTTGTTCCTACATCAATGCTCCCAAGAGTTCACCTGAAAAGGAGGGGTGAACTAAGTATCTGAACCAGATGAAGTCCCTTCATCTCCAATTACTGCCAAGTGCCTTTGTGAAACACCAACCACTGCTTTCCAGCTTTGTTTATCCAAGTAGAACAAGCAAAGATTCACTTTTCCTTTGACCTGTTTATGAAATGCTTTTGGCTACTGTAGTCAACTCATCTTCTGAAATGCAGTGCTAGGAGAGGGTGGATGTGGACAAGAAGAGGTGTGGGAGTAGTAAAACATCAGTGAGGTGCTGTGAGTGGGGGCAAATGCTTGTGTAAGGCACTCTGGTCCCAAGGAGTCGAAGGACACCTGACTAAGCCACAGTCTTGGTTCAGAACCAGGGGCATGAACACAACTCCAGAAATCCAAGAGCAAGCATTCATCTGATTATTAGTTACTACACGAATTTGATAGTACAGAAACTAAGAGGCAGAAAAAAAAAACAACAATTTGAGTGTAATAAAACATTAAGTGAAAGGAAAATATTTTGTAACGATTTTAATCTCCAGGTTCTCCCAATCTGCAAAAGCCCAAACTTGAAGTGTGTGCTTTAAGTGGACAAAAAGGCTGACCCTGCACTTTCAATCAGCAAATGGCTACTGTGTTCTACAAAGAATAATTTGACATTCCTGAATTACTCAGAAATGACAACTAGGTATTCAACTGAAGAAATACTGAAAAACTCTTTAATAATTTGATGCAGTATTTTTGTCATAGCCTAGAATGGGTCTTTTTTATGATGATGAAAAAACTTCATGGGGTAGAGATCCTGATGATGTAGCTACACACAAAACAGCTTCAATACAATTCACTTCAAAATAACATTCACAGATGCATATTATACAGCATAAGTGTAAAGAAAGAACTGTGCACAATAAAGTATTTGCTGATTTTAGAGAACTACCTGTATGCAGTCCAAGACAACATTCAACTTTTAATGGTACTCAAATCAAGTTTATGAAGAACAAATCTCAGTCTAACTTTAGACCAGAAATTAGATTGAAAGATGAATAAACAAAAAAGGTAGTTTCCCAAGTAATATAAATGGTACCAAAGTTAAGTGAGCCTTACAATTGCAATAATTTCAAATGCAAGTCTGCAGAACAGACTCACAATGTAATGGCCATTCCATAAACTTCTGTGCATTCAACAAGAAAATACAAGCAAAAAGTTTAGTAGCACATGGTGGTATAAAATGAGAACAGAACAGAAATTTTAGCTTGCAGCTTTGCAATCCTCTAAGTTACATGCTTGGGTCACAGTAACAATGCAAGCATACAGATAAATGCAGGAACTTAAACAGCACAGTTTCTATGAAGTGACCCTCATTGATGCTCTTGATCTTCAAAAAAAGGAACTGCAGCAACTTGGTGGACATGCAAATGAAATGGTGCATGTCAGAGACTTAGTGCTCCAGCAGATTTTTCATATCAGTGAATCCATCTGGATTCCCAAACTTGTTTAAAAGGAAGAGTAGGACTTGTTTATGCTTTTCAAGCTGTGGAATAAGCAGAAAGAGTTAGAAGTGTACAAATCTTTTTTTTTCTTTTATTGCTGATTTCAGATCAGGGTAGATACTGATACAACAAATTCAGCTAAGTAACAATTAATTCAATAAATATATTCAGTTCCCTTCTGTTGCAAAATCTTCTGGAAGGGAAAAGCCAATAGAATTTTAACCTATTTCCCCTTGCCCATGTATGTGTCCTTTTTTTTTTCCCTGAAGCAGCTTCCTCAAACCAAATTGATTAAATACTCAAATTAAGATTGACATCAGCATCTTAAATTAGACAACAGAGAAAAGTATCACTCCTGAGACTTCAAACTCTAAAAAAGTGAAGTAAGAACTGTATGTGGTACATTTCTAAAGTACAGACTAATGAAATCTATGCACTCTAAACATGATCCTCCCTCAGCTTCAGGGTGCTCTAAATATTACCTTATATAAAACAACCTGAGAAAAAGTGCCAGGATGCATTTCACAAAACTTCCATGTTTCAGTAGCTATTATTCCCCCTTCTCCCATTTGCTTCCTACCCAGGGTTTCTTTTGAATTCTGGAAACATAAAAAAGAATGCATTGCTTGGAGTGAATCTTACTTGCACTTTTAATTCCATGCAGCAGCATTTGGTCTCACCTCCATTACCTAAAAAAACCAAAGTGAATGAGCAAAATACACACATACATTCTTTCCCTAATTTAAGAAGTGACATGTGGCATTGTCCAGAATTTTTAGAAGGGAAAGTCATTTAGCTACCCCCCATGATTACAAGTTCTTCAGAAGAAGCAAACTGAAGTAATCAAGCCAAAATATGTACCTTGATGTTCATCATGAGAGTTTTCAGCACTGCAGGATGTGACCAAACCCTCCTTCAGCAGTTTGTCAGCTACATTTACATAACCATTATCAAAGTGTTTCTCCACTGTTACTAAATTAACATTTCCATTAATCCCTTTCACTGTAATTGTGACGTGTTGCTTCAATAATAGTTTTTTCAAAGTGTCAAGCACTAATGGAGACCACTCAGCTTTCTCTATTCCTGCAAGAAAAGGAACATTAAGCTTATTGTATCAATAATTCCTTTAACTTGAATTATACATATATGTTTTGGAAAATACGATGCTAAATTTTCCTCATATAAATAGCTTACACTCTAGAGATAATGAACTAAAAACATGTTTTCTAAACCAGCTTTTACCATGTTTACCAATATACTATTTCAGAAGATCATCACGTTGTGTACCAGTGTTAAGGAATGAACACTACCACCAGAACAGGTACACATCTATAATGTTCAAGAAAACTTGTCAGGGGTTTTTGGGGTGGTTTTTTTTTGCTTATTTTGGGGAGGTTTTTTTACCTGCAAGTGAACATGTAATTGTCTGAAAAGGCAGCTTTAAATAGGAATCCGTGATTGGCAGCACCTTTGAAAGGGGTAAAGTTTCTGTGCTGCCATAGTCTCCATAGAGTACTTTCACTGAAGACTGGGAAGCTTCCAGAACAATAGCTCTGTACCAATTGCCATTACCTGAAAAGATTGGGATAAGAATAGTCACTTATGAAGAATCATCTTATAAACACAGTTTATTGCAAGAACAAGAAAACTGTAGAGTTTTCCAGGGATTTTTAAATACTATGGTGGGTATATAAAAGGCCAACTGACAAGAAGCACAATTAAGAGATCCATAAACACTTTCAAGTTGGTGTTTTTTCTTCATCTGAAACAAAAATAAAAGCTGTGTTTTACACTGGCCAAGGAAATGGAAGGACAAACAATTGTCTCACCTGAGAACTGAGCACAACAGGCTTCACCCAGCTTTGGTTGGAAGGCCTGTTTGTTACAAGATCTACAATAGTCTTCCAGTGAAATCAGCTCCTTCAGGAGCTGCTTTTGACCTACAGAAAAAAACCCACACTGACTAACCACATCTGGGTACCATGAAGAGCATAATTAAGCCTCCCTGCTCCCACCTTTGACATTTTTTGTATTTTCCTACTGTCCAAGATACATTTCTACACCCTTCAGTTCACTACACACATTCATTTTATTATCTATCTTGCAACAGTGTCTTCTTACTGGTATTAGGAACAAGGAACATTTTTTCTTACCCTTATTTGGAACTGGTACAGCATAGAACAAGTCTGGGCTTACAACTTCTGTTACCCAGACAGACATGGTTTCATCTACAGCCAATTCAATTGACTTCCAGTGCCCAAGTGAGGTTGCTAATAGAAATTGTAAGAAAATGCAGTGTTATCACTGTCCTCCAAGCACACATGTATTTTAAGGAACTGCTTTGATATTTATAATACTTTTTTGAATTTCAGATACAACTACGTGTCTTCCCTTCAGGAAGACAAATCTAAACCAAGATAAATGATGCTTACTTTGCTGTTCATAAACTGTTAGCACATAAAAGTAGCTAAAATAAAAAACACCTCAGAAAAATTAAGATCTTGAAAAGCAAACATGAGAGAACTTTCAGCCATAGAAAACTGCTAATTCTCTGATTCCCACAGAGTCAAACAACATTCATTTAAGACAAATACAGCATTTTTTCCTTCTCTTTTTGTCTGTAATGCCACCTGCAGGGCAGCTGGTGTTCAACTGTAAGAACTGACAATATAAACAAAACTACGCATTGATACTAATTGTAGTTAAACAAGAAAATAACAGTTAAAGGCTGGAATACAGAAAATTCTTGTTAAATCTAGAAGTTAACAATTTTTTAATTACCTTTTTGGTCAACAGACTTTGGAAAGTTATTGTTATCTTGTAGAACTTCCTTTACAACCTTTACAACCAGTTTTTCTGAAGTTAGTATCTCATTGATCATTTTTGGACAATCTGTGGAATTGTCAGTAAGCACCACACCTGCCCCATCTTCAGAAAGGGAAGTTACTGTGGCTTGAAGCTCTAAGCCTGAAGCATACATATGAAATCTTTTTGTAGCTTCTGGACTCCATTTGCTATTTCCAGGCTTTATACCTAGGAAGTAAAATAACTGTTAAAATATCTCCATTCATTAATATTGACTTTCTTCAACATTTATAATTTCCTTTGAAAAATACTTTAAAAAAACCCATGTCTTCAGAGCATATCCTGAAAAATCAAGGCTACTTTTACTGCTCCAGGGCAACACATTGTCCTTCATCCTGTTACCTGCTCTCCCTCTTCCTCCTTTTTTTCTAAATGCCCACATTTCCTCGGGACTCCCAAGTTTCATCTTTTATATCTTATGATTCAGCCAAGGAAATCCTTTGCACAATCCTTAGCACAAACAACATTATTAAGACTGTTTTTGAATCAGTATAATCACGCCTTTTTATCAAAGAAGCAGACAAAACAAGTGTTTTAAGGTTCTTTGGGTGAGGGAACAGCAAAAGACACTTGAACAAAATAAGGTTTTGAGCTTTTTCCTGTTTCCACATTTTTCATCTTTAAACCAAGCAGACTACATCAGAAAGAAAGAAAAATTCTGCAAATTTTTGAACAGTGTGGAAAAAGATTTTGCAGAACATTGAGAAACAACAGTACAATGCCAAACTCTTCAGGAGTCAAATGAAAGAGAACTGAAAGGCCAACCTGCTTCATTAAAACAGATTAGCTCCTTTGCCTGCAAAAATTTTGAGAAATAAAACTGCCAAAAGCACATTCACTCCTAGCAAGGCAACAACCAAAAACCAGTAAACACTACAGATGAAGAAGAACTAAACAGCTCCCTTTGACCAGTAAAGCAGTAAGCAAAGTCCATGCAGATCACTCCAGATCACTGCAGGAGCTCAGAGAAGAGAAAGCAAACAAACAAAAGAACAGAGTTCTGCACGGTATTCCCTGTCATCACCTCCTTCCCCCAAAGCAGCAAGTCTCTAAAAGCAAGAGCTCTTGTAAGAGAAAATTCATAAGGATTCACCTGAGAGCCAGCATTTAATTGCTTGAAATGGAAGTTTTAGGAATGAGGAGGAGATCTGTCTGATATTATCCAGTGGTACTTCCTCAGTATTTCCATAGTCCACAAAGCTCACTCGAACAATTCCATCTGAAGTAACATTTTGCACCACAGCACGGTACCAGTTACCATCCTCTGATTTTAAAGAAGATTAAAAAAAAAAATTAATAATTATTTCACACATTTGCTAAGTCTACCAGCTTTCACTTGTTAGTAAATAAATATAATTATTTGCTGTCCTCTTCCAATGTAAACCGTCAGCTAATTTTTCATGTTCACCCTATAAAAACGAAACTATTTTAGTCTGTTACTTGCCAGAGTAAAAAGCACAGCAAGGGTCTCCATTCTTAGGCTCAAAAACATCTGGTGGTGTTTTCTGACAGTGTTCAGACAATGATTTGTTAAGTGAGTTCAGAGCAAGTAACTCTGAAAATTAAAAAGAAAAAACGAAGATTAGATCAATTAAATGAGCTGGACTTGAACTTTATCAATGCTGTTCACTCTACAGTTTACTTTAAACCTTCAAAGGTATTCCTTGACTACATAAGCCGAGGAACAAACATCCCTCACTTTTTAAGAGCTGCCCCATACTTTTTGTTTGAATGCCTTTAGCTCCCTCTTCAGCCACTGAATTTTGTCACATTCTTCTAACATTTAAAAAGCGAGTAGCTATCAGAAGTCTTTATACAGACTTCTGGTAGATAAACAAGATTAGATTTTTAACTAATCCAACAAGAAATCATGTCTCAATGGCTGCATTTTCTCATTTTTGCATTACAATTATTATATCTCTAAGTTTTTATAAATTACAAGAGTGGACTAGAGAAAGCTCCAGTAAATACTGTCTTGGCACAGGGAACATGTCTCTTATTTGCTTTTATTAACAGAACCACTGAATAAGGAAGGGGGGAGAAGACCTTCCAACATCATGTAGTCCAACCATCAACCCAGCACCACCATAATCATCCCTAAGTACCAAATCCAGATGCCCCTGGCACACTTCCAGAGACAATGACTCTACCACCTTCCTGGAAAACTTATTCCAAAGCCTGGACACTCTTCCAGTGAAAAAAAAAATTAAGATATCCTTTGGCTAGGTTATGGTAACTCTTTCACTTTCCTCTAATGCCTATCTTCAGCATTTCCAAAAATATCAATTTCTTTGTCACTCCACTTGTATTCTTAGATAAAAACCTCAGAGGTAAGCCTTTGTACTGTAAGCTTACTTGACATAGTAGTTCATTAGAACAATAATAAATGACAAATCAAAAGCAAAGAAATTATCAGAAAGAATTCAGCTGAATAAACTTACCATGGCTGTTTGAAATCTGACAGTAGAATTCTCCAGGATTGTACACTGTACATACTATGACACTGAGTGTTTGGTTAAGAGTTAATTTAATCCACTTGCACATTCTTTTGTTCGTTGTGTCCTCTAGAGAGGACAGAGAAAAGCACAGAATGAAAAGAAATTAAAGTAACTCTTACAGGAAAAAAACCCCAAAACAATCCCAAATACTCATTTGTGTCCTCAAGTTTCTTGTTCTAAACTGTCCAACAGACAATTACCAGTGAGAGCCTCACTGCAGAGTAAAACCAAGTCAGAGAAACATGCCAGTTGTTTAATGTATTCTTCATTCCCAAAAAGAGCAAGCCACAGATAGCAGGGAAGAGTAATCACAGAAAGAGGTAAAGACTAGCTGGCAACAACCTGGGCAAGAGGGACACTGGGGAACCTTGGTTCCTGGAAACAGGGTAGGAAGCATAGAAGAGGGAAACATCAGTCATCAAGACTACTGAAAACAATCTAAGGAAGAAGAGCAAAAAATATTACTATAAAGACTGGTTGCAGAAATTTGCACTGTATATTTAACTCAGGTACCTAAAAGATGCTTATTTTTTAATACTTTTAATATTTTTTAATAATAATCATGGGAACACTAAATCATGGCATACTGGAGAACAGAGTTAAAAACTTGCATTCAACAGCTCAGTGACAGAAATTACAAAAAGGTGAGAGGCAACCAATAAACCAAGAAGTACAAAACAAGTCCTGGATGAGGGCCACAGATCAGAATGTGCTTAGATACAGCCAGGAAAGCTACTGTTTATTTGAAATTTTTGTAAGATTCCTTACTCTTCTGAATACACACAAGGAATAATTGTGTCCTGGCCACAAGGCATCTAGGGAGAAAGACTGAAATTATTTAAACATAGACTTGACAAAAAGTTTTCAGTACCAATGGATCAGAAGAGAACATGTATGTTTGCCAGACACAGGATGGAAAGGAATTTAGCATGCTTCATCTAAGAGAAGCCAGGAATCTCCCCCAAGATTTCAAAGAAATTCAATGCAATTTTTGCAAAAATCTCTCAGATTGAAACTTTGGTCACTAAATTCAAACAAGTCAATTTAAGCTTAGACTTGAAGCTTTATAAGCTACTACAGTCAAATTTTCAAAGACTAAGTATGTGGGTTTATGTGTAAAATACAGGACAATGAAAATGAAGTAAATATTATTTGCAGTGATGGATTAGGGTGTAAGAACAGCAGGTAATAAATAACTCATCATAGCCTAATTCAACTGGAAATTCAAAGACTTCTAACCAGAGTAAATACCAATTTCCAAAAGCAAGCAATTACAACTTTGTTAAGCATGAACACATGGACACACACATACAGACACACAACTTCTTTACTGCTAAGTTGCTAAACTTGGACTTGTGAAGGCTAGACTTGATAAGCCAGACTGAAAAGCTCTTACCATATAGGTGCCCACTCTAGCAGGAGGTTAACTGCCAGTGCAGTAGGATGTGCTCATACTCACCACTGGCCTGCTCAACATCACTCCCTCTGGCTGCTGGTAAGGCCATGCTCAGCTCCTCAGCTGCAAAGCCTTCCTCGAGGAGACGGCTTGATATATTTACTGCTGGAGTACCTGATGCATCTGTAAGCTGCACCACAGTTCTAGAATTCTTTTTATCCACTACTTTTACTGTCAACACTTTGTCTTTCACCAGTTTTTTCATGCAAGAAATACCTTCTGAGGTCCATGTTCCTAATGGTGGCTTTACACCTAAAAAGTCACATAGTATGGAAAGGTTCTGAGGTCAGTCCAACTCTCACCAATATGTAGACAGGTACAACAACTGCCAAGTACATTCTGAAATATTTGTCACATTTTGTAGATATGCCATGGCAATTAAGAATTCTGGAAATAATGCCTACCATTACTTCCATCCTCCCCCATATTTCAGTGTGATATACTATAGGTGTGATGGTTATTTAATACCACTTCTTCCCCCTATCTAGTTTGAAACTGCTTATCATTTACTTCATACCTGCCAGGCTACATCTTATGGCTTGGGCTGGCAAGTCCATTAATCTTGGAATTATAGGACGAAGTCTGGTCAGTGGAAGAGAGTCAGAATTACCATAATCCATATAGTCCACCAAAACAGTGTCTTCAGAAACATAAGCTGTAACAGCAGCACGATACCAAAGGTTGTCTTCTAGAAAGAAGGATACAGATGTAATGTCTGAGAACAGAATGATTTTTTTTCCCAGACCAACATAAACATATATCCATCTCAGTGCAGCTCAGGACTACCAGGTGTTGGCTAAGCAGCACTTTGAGAAGCAGTCTATCAGAACAGCATCATTACATATAATCTCATTTCTTCTGTGCTTCTTTTGCGGACTGAAATTTCAAAGATATATTGATTTCCAACACTGGGGAAATTATGCTTAGCAAAATAAAACCCCCAAATTTTCCATGATCTCTTAAAAACCTATTCTAAGTAATCTGAATCCAATGTCAAGAGCTTGCTCCATAAAGGGACATTCTAAAATTGGTATTTTACAAATATAATTTCTTAAATCACTACCAAGCATCACCCACAGCTAAAAATCAGAGGCAAATAAACTGTATATGAAACATTTCTAAACATATTTACAAAATGTATCTTTTTGGTAATAAATTTGAGTGACATAGTATTTCACTCAATTTTTTACCTGTGAACTGGGCACAGCACACATTGCCAGCAGCAGGACGGAAAGATGGACTACTGGGAAATTTGTCACAGTATTCATTAAGAGAAGCTTCAAGCTCAGCAAGCTGACCTGATATTAAAATAAATAGGTTTTGGAACATAGCTTGTCTTACAATTATTACAAAACAATTAAGCTTAAAGCCTGGAAGAACATCTTGTAGTCTAATGGAAATTATTTCAAATGTTTAACATTGATCAGACTAGGGCTCCTCAATCATTAACATCCAAGAGAGTCCTCATGTGTGTCTGAGGAATCACAGCAGTGAACAGACAGGGAAAACTAGTAATGGATTTTTTCAGCAAAGGGACAAAGCTGAAGCCAGTGCAAATTGAAAGCAAGCTAGTAAAAGCATGCCAAGAAGAAACCAAGGAAGACAGCTCTTCCAACAACAGGCAGATGATGAGGTATGCCACTTCTTCCCAAAGGACACACCTTGCTACTGATTACCCACAATTAAAAGGCTGCACATGGACACAGAAGAAAAAAATCACCGTCTTCCAGCCACTTCCTACCAAAGAGAAAAATGCCATAGTGGGCACTGTACATCCCATGTCCAACCCAACACTTACAGGCACTTTGCATCCGCTGACAAAAAAAGGTGTCTGGATTTTGAATGTGCGAAACCACACCAGAAAATTCATCTCCGATACTTAAAGAGACAAACTTGGCAACTGAATTAGTACAGTGAGTAAAGTCTTCATCTTCAGGTATTTTTTTTTCACTTCCCTTGGAATGGTTTTCTGATACTGCACATAAAAAAAAAAGAAAAAAAGGTTGCCAATCAAAAGCTAGCTGACTTTGAAAATATAAATATACTGAAATAGTTTATTCTTTTTATTGATGCTTTGGACTTTGAAGGCTCCTGTCATATTATGTAATTAATGCTGACATAGTAACTACTACACAAATGTTTTATACTATTAAAATGTGTATGAGCTAATGTCAGTAGTGACCTGAAGGAAGCTCTACTAGCCAACATTTTTAAGTTTGAGATGATACTAGTGAGCAGTTAGAATATCATGCAGCACAGGCAGACCTAAAATTACCCAAGTTTAGCTTGATTTGCTTGCTTACCTCTTGAAGAGTCTCCTTTGCCATCTATTCCTGAAGTTAAATGAGACTTCATTTCTAAGGGAATTTTATTTTGGCAGTCTTCTAAAATATAGATGCAAGAATAAAAGACTTATCATACAAAATAGCCATCAGCTAGTTCCACTTCAGAACCACCCTCAGCCAGATCTACATTCCTATCACAAGGTGAGCATGTTCTACTTATTTGTTCAGTACTTAATGTTTAAAATGCAAAACAAAGGTAATTTCAGAGTAGCTCAACTACTTGAGTTCTCTGGGCATATTCACAGCTCCAAGACTGTCTGACTTCATAAAATGAGCAAAGCAGCAACAATCAACATTTACTTGCAGTCACAAAAGACTGTGAGTTGAAAAACTGATTGCTTTTCAGACACAAGGATTCATGACCTACCTCATTATTTACAACACTGAGTATGTAACGATTTAGACAAGATGTCTTTGTAAATCTTGGTTTCTCAGCTATTACATACTCCATTTCTGATGCATGAAGCAGTAGTCCAAACTTTCAATACCATTATTTTCAAATTAAAACCTCAATACAGGTTTTTCAGTTGCTTATAAAGTCTGGAATGAATGCATGGAATATTTCAAGAATGCAGTGACATTTACGTGATTTCTCTCCAAAATATTGGCAGGTTACATATCACTTCACCACTAGTGTGCTGTGAAGCAACCAGATGTGAAATATGCCCAGAACAATCCTTAATCAGTTGAATTTACATGGGACTAAAGTGAACCATCCTTTGACAGAGGATGGAGGTAAGCTTCCTGCACATAAGCAAGTTTAGCAAGCTAAGAGGATCGACCACCACATCCCTGAATGTTTCTGTGGGCTGCAGATCAATGAAATTAATATGGTCTTGGTTCTACATTGTTCCTGCTCTGCAGCCAGAGGAAACCCTAAACAACAGAGTCTTCCACATGACAAAAGGTACATCTTGCATGTATTGATCTGCTTTCACAATCAAACCTAGCTCAACTGAAAATCTGAATTCTGACTTCTCAAAGGTCTGGTGTTTAGCTTGTCTCTCACTGAAGCTTGCTAAGTTAGAAATATAAGCATGCTTACAGAGTTCTCCAGCTGGATACAGCAATATCCAATGATTGTTCTTTCTTTGGGATACTTAGTGAGCATGCATGAAATATAATGAAAGCTGGTAAAATCCTACCTGGAACTAGAAATTGATACTGTAATTTTTAAAGACTTAAAAATGCATAAGAAAGAAACAAAATTTTCTTGCATCTATTGAAACAGAAAAATAAAGCAGATAATCTAGAACACACTGAAGTTAATACAATTCTATTGGAAAAGTAACCTTACTAAAATTTAAGGTTATTAAGCTTAGCAAGGTATTTCAGGCACTGACATTTTATAGAAAGGTGAAATAAAGTAGAATTGAAAAAAAAAAAAAAGTTAAGGGAGAGGCTGGGAGAGTGACAAGAAGGAGGAGGACAAAAGAAAAACCACTCATCCTCTACAGGTGTTGGGAGAGGAGAGTGAACATAAAAGCCTTAATTGTGGTGGGCTTTTTTTACCCACACAACCAAGCACTTACCAGAATCTGGAAGAACAACATCTACAGCAAAACTCAACCTCACTTCCTCCTGTAATATATCAACACCAGTTAGTGAACAGTGCCCTTCCCATGAGCTGAGAAAAAAAAAGCTGGCAATGCCTTCATTCCATCCTTTTCCTTCTGGATTATAATGGGCAAAGAAACACTTAATAGACTGGAAATAATTATAATTAGAACAAGAGGGCATAGCAGATTATTTCCCCCTATCTAAATGACTAAATAATCAAGACCTTAAGAAATACCACCTTGCATATTAAAGCTGCTGTTGCACTTGAAGTGCTACCAATTCAACTGATTTCTGCACTTTCTTCTGAAGAATTAGGAAATTAAAGTAAAAAGAAAGAATCCTCAGAAGCTGAATTACCCTATTTAAAACAGGTTCAAGTTACATTTAATATGGAGCTGTTCAGCTGTAGCTCCTTGTAGTAAGAAAGTTCAAGGAACACTGCAGAAATCTACTGAACATCAAAGAAGAACAAGTGCTGAAGACTCACACATTCACCTCCTCACAACTGTTTTACAGGACAACTCAGCTAAAATTCTCACTTATGAAGCTCTCATAAATAAGAAGAATTAATTCCACCTGTTTCCTCATAACCTTAACACCCCAGAGCAGATTACAGCTATTGCTTTATCTGCTGGCATCCATTTTTAAAAAGTCTAATAACTTAATGTAACCCACCTTAGTATCATTCAACATGCAATCTAAGCTCACTTCATTCTGCAGAACTTGTAAGAGCTTCAAGAGGTGAACAAGTTAAAAAAATACCTTCTGTTCTTTGAAAACAAAGTGACTGCCTATTTTTTATTCACATTTCACAGCTATTTGGTATAAAGGGCCCTCACCATCAGTTTCATTAGAACCCAGTCACAAGCACACACACAATAGGAACTAACAGGATGAACTAACAGAAGCCTCAAGACATGAAGCCTCCTTTCTAAATTCCTTCCAGTAAAAGAGATGAATAAGCTACTCCAAAGGAGTACATGACAAAGAAGTTCTACAGTGCAAACACAAGGCTAGTTGGAGGTATGCAAACTTAGTCATCTTCATAAATGTGATACCAAGAAACCACAAATACAGAAAAATCAACTCCTGCAGAAGAGTTCATAGGAAGACAGGGAGAAATGCTTGGCTCAAAGTAAGATCAAGAGAGGCTTCAACACATTACAAAGGAGAACTGTGTCATCTAGCTCCTTCTACAGCAAAGAAACAACAGCTTATCTCCATCTGTTATTGTATAATACTACATTAAATGTATTTCTCAAATAAATTTTCAAGGTTCTAAGAGTCAGCTCATGATTTTTTTCACAGAAACAAGACACCAGAAGTTTTCTGAGTTGGAGATACTACATCTGTTTCCTTCCCACAGTATTTCTCTAGCAACATCCTACATGTCTTGATTTTTAACTTTTTCACAAATGTTTTTTTCAGAAAAACCCAGGGTTGTCTGATAGTGCTTCTAAGAGTTCTAGAAGTAACAATTTTCTGAATACTTCTCCCAGTAACTTCTGATTTAAAACACTGATCTTTCTAAAAGGAGCAACGTGTTCATTTCTTGTACAGGTTAAATGAAGCACACTGCCACTCACTCACTCACAGCAGATCTATTCAAGACAATCAAAACTGTATTCCATACCTTAAGATAAACTCCCGTCTTGGTTTTGCTATTATTTAAACTGCAATCAAAGGAAAACATCTCAATTTGAAGAACCAAAGACTGACAAGTAACATTAATAATACAATCTACTTGCAAACAGATAAAAGGCTGTGCTCATACTATGTGATTTTTGCCAACCCTTACTCCTCATCCACTAAAATGCAGAATTACAAATATGGTAATATGTAATAATGACAGCCTAATAATGCAGTACTAGTCTAAGAATAAGCAACATATTTTACTGTAATACTGCCTTCCCATGCTCATTTATGTTGTAATGGGAAGGACACTGTCTTTCTGTGAAGATAATTTGGAAGAACTTTCAACAAACTTACTTCTGTTTAATGGGATCACAAACTACTCTATGTGCTGGCCAATCTTTTTTCTGACAATCTACAGAGCAATAGTATGTTTGCAGACACTGTGAACATCTGAGCTTTCCTAAAACAAATGAGGAAAAAGAAATGAAGTCTGAGCAAAACACATTGAAAGGAACAACAACTGTTTAAATATCTGCTTTACAAAACAGCTCCCCTGAAATTCTAAGCAAACAAAAATAGGAATTTGTATTCACATACAGCTATCAGACATTGCTGCCCAAACATCCCAAATTCCTTCTACATTTAAGGGAAAAAAAATCCCACCAGTTTCAATAAAGAAATACTCTCCTGCTTGTCAGCTCTGTTACTCCAACTTTGCTCTAAATAGTCTATACTTGTGTCTGAGAGTTAAAAATATACATCCATTTAAAGATATTTCTGAGGAAACCTGATCTGGTTTGACTGATAAATGTATTGTATGTCACAGACTACAGGACAGCAGGCACTTACCAAACAGACCACAACGATGGCAAGTGCCCCCTTTAGGAGGTGGTACTAACAAACTCAAGAAACTCTTATCATAGCAAATAGAAAAAGCACTCTTAGAGGAACATTGCAATTTCTTTGGCTTCCCATTAATCCAATTAGAATGTGACACCTGTGGAAGAAAAACCTGAAGTCACTCTTACTGGAAAAAAGATCACCATAAGGGTAGAAATACTGTAATATACAAAAATATGACAACAAAAGGAGACAAAACTTCTAAGTTCTAGAAAGAGAAATACATGCTGATAATTCCTGCTATCTAGAAATGCTCAGAATACTTGGGGCAACTATAAAGTGAAATAACTCACAGTATTTTCTTTATCAGCTGCAGCTATGCAGTTCTCTCTACCAGTTTTGTCTTCCATAGAACTTCCTAGAAGCAGAAGTATTTGCAAAGGGATCTGATTAAAAACACTAACACATGCCTATATTATGGAATATTTGCAGGAAGAAACAAGGCTCTTGGCTACTCCTACTATTCTGCCAGCCCATTTGAGTGAATGGAGATGCCTGGACCATGACACTCTGGAAGTCACTTGTTTTCATTCTGATACCATATTTATTCAATAGTGCAATCAGTGGTATTACTAAAACAACAGTTTCACCTTCTGTGCTTATGACTCAATACTGAGAAACAAAACAATCTGAAACAAGAGATTTTGATTTTCCAGTGAGTGCCTTATAAACCTTGTGGTCCTTTCTGTGAGTTTTTCTTTACCAAACAACTCTTAGAAGGTATTCAGCTAAGCTATAGTAGGAACTCTGCTTTTGTAAGTGGGCAACTTATCCACCTACAAAGAACTAGCCACTGTTCTAGGCTACTTATGCCATTAAAATCTTGTTCCAGTCTGGCAGGCCTGTCTAACGTCTCCACTGAGACAACATAAAGCTAGCATGGCCTTTTTTCCCCACCTGGAAGCAAGTCAATCTTGTAAACTCTGCCTTAACTAAAACTCTTGCCTAACATGAAATCAAATTTCATGAACTCTCCAGACCCAAGATGTTTGTACATAAAGCTACTTCAGATCTCCCAAAATGAAGCCTTTCCCTCTCCCCAACCTGGGGTAAGAGAACATGGATCAGACGACACCGAGGCACTTAAGAGGCAAGAAACATTGCTGAAGGAACTCCAACTCCCATTTTAGTTTCTGAGGCATTTCAGCATTTCAGCAGTCACAGGTTTGGATAAGTAGGAGTTATATCTATAAGCCATACTCATACTGATGATGTGTATCAATAATAAAGTATATACACAATCACAGAAAAATGAAGTCAAGATACCTCTGTCAAGCTTAGGACAAAGTTTCTCTTACTGCACTTGTGCTGCTATTAGAACTTTCTGTACTGTTTCTACATTTGTCAAAAATACCCTGTATTATTTGCTTACAAAATACTGGATTTTGTTAGATATTTCAGAAATTCAGCCTCAAAACTAAAAGCTTTTCAACAGTAAGTTGGTACCTGTGACCCTGTTGCTTAAATCTGCATCTGCAACTTCATTATGCTGAAGTGGTTCTGCCATCATGTAAAGGCTGACATTAGGGTATGACCAAAGGTGGCTATGGGCCAGGTAACTGCAAAAGCATGGATTTAAAGATTAATTCAGGCAGGCACACAAATTAAAGTATTTTTGGGTCATATTCTGAACATATATTTAAGCATTCATTTTGGAAGGCTAATTCTCTACCATGTATTTATTTTTTTTTTTTTGCACAGCAAAACACTTTCTGCATTAAAGAACTCAACAATGAATACTGCAGGTTAAATGATGAAAATTCCTTTTGGAGAGGAACACATGGACAAAATAGGAGTGGCCATCAACACCTGCACATGAAGCTCGCCGTGTCTCTGGAGGAAACCTCGCTGTACTTTTGTTAAAAAAGTTTGTAGTCATAAAAAGCATAGGCTGCACTCCTGGGTTCCTCATGCCTGAGGGGAGCCACTGCCCCAACCATTCCCACTGCGTGAGGGGAAGCAATGCCTTGGGCTCTGCCAAAATGCTTTTTCAGCACCTACTTTCCAAATGCTAATATGCAACATAATTGTTCTAAATTAAAAGTATAGGAGAAAACAAACTAAAATGAACCTGCGAATACAGCAGAACAGTCTTCGAAGTGACACCGCAAACCAACTCCAGCAGAAACACGCTTTCAGCAACTGCAATTGAACAGGTGCTATTAAAATTAAGTCATTTTAAGTAACTCAAAATATAATTAGCCCCGTGCCACGGCCTCCAGCCAAGCTCGCCACCTCCGGCCCTCCCTACGCTCAGCAAAGCGCTCACCCCTGGGCCGCCCCCGGCTCCTTTCCCGGGGGAAAGCGAAGCGACCGCCCCCTGCCCCTCTCCCCCGAGAGCAGCGCTCACCCCGGGCCACCCCTGCCCCTCTCCCCCGAGAGCAGCGCTCACCCCGGCCCGCCCCTGCTCCTCTCCCCCTGACAGCGGCACTCACC